GCAGAGCATGAGACAATCTCCATGGCGAGTTGTTGACGTGTCCTTTTGGTCCAAAATCCATGGCGTCCTGTGCAACCTCTGATCTTGATGACTCCGACGCCGTAGATGTGATCCAGTGTGCAGGGCTTCTTTTCTCATTACACGCTGTTAGGGCAATGAGTAAAGGAATCTCCACGAACATTAGCAATGCCTTGCCAGAGCCCTGCCAAGCTTTCACCATAGGCAATCGCTGACCTAATGTGGATCAGGGAGACATGTGCCACCTAACGACTGAATCAGCCAGGCGGTGGTGCTTCTGGCATGATTGATTAATTACGACCCACATAGCGCATGACGTCCGCACTCTTCCCGGTACTTGCTGGGGTTATAATTTAGGTCAAAAAACGCGCGCCTTAATCTTAGTCTTCGTTATTGCAAGCTAAACTTCCTCTTTTGTGATGTATGACACTGGCCTTCTACAGTCACTTAGAGTGATGTGCAAACAGTGGAATGTAGACTATCTCTTCGATATGTCCGCCATCTTTTCGTGATGTCCTGAGTTCTTGCAAGATTTCTTCGTTTTTTTTACTCCATATCTTTGGAATCTGTTCTCCTTCTCGAATGTTTTATCGTTCTCAATATTGGCTTTTTAACTTCCTGTCTCTTGCTTCTTTGCTCCTCTATTTTTTGAGGTCCTGTTCGCCTAGACAATTTTGTTCTGTAGTAATAAACAGATATGATCATCGCGCTGCCAGAAGGTGTCATTTTTTCTTTGCATCCAATTTGAAGAACGTCGGCAAAGCAATATATTTGAGTTTTTCAAGGAACGTTGAATCTGTTAGAATAAAGGAGATTATCCAAAAATTTGTGTGGAGTTTGGGAACAAAAAAAGGGCAGAATTTGCTCAAGATAATATCTGAGTGTCGCAGGAATACTGCTGATTAGTGTAGACAGTTACTGAGACAAACTTAAGCTCTGCACATTTGTAAAATTATCTCACCTCGTCTTATACAAATAAATTTCTAAAGTCTAGCTGTACGCTTGTTTGTTAGCGTTTGTTGCCTGCAATTAGTTCAACATATAGGGTAGTGGTTGGCTTTTCACAATGCATTTTTACGTCAGTGATCTTTAAAAAATTTATAAGCAGAGCACTAAAGAACCCTTTTTACTTTTACAACTCTGTTGATGCAGTAATATTAGCAGGCAATTCACCTTACAACATGGTTGACTACTCATTACAACTATGTGCGTGTTTACTGTAGATTACAAAATGTTCTACAGAAGAGATCCCGGGTTAAGCTTCGAACTCAGCTGTCTTTTCTTCAGTAAACGCTGGTTTGGATGGCTCTGTTCCCAACATGGGCGACCTTTTAACATTAAGATTAATATCAATTAAAATTATGAATTCAATTGAATGTTGCACCTCTTCCACTTTTTCGTCCTTCTTTTTCTTCATCCAACGCAACAATGGTCCTGGATCAAAGTCGTCCAGATCTTCAGGCAATTTCTTGTCTTTTGTTTCCGGCATAATAAGAACAATCCCAGCCGATATCAGCGACATTACCACTATCGCTAGGGCAGGCGCTGATTTGTGTATAGCCTCCTAACAAATTAGCATAGTTGCCATTTCAAAGAAGATTTTTAAAGAAATGGCCAACCAGTCTTTTGAGGTACGGTGCCGCCACTGAGCCGAGATCACCCAGGAAACCGGCGACCCCGCAAAAAACATTTCGTACAGATGTTGTTGTCGCCTCAGTATAAAGTAAGGATTGAGAGCACCATACTATTGTATTGCATATCTTGGCCATAAGGGGAAATATCATAGAGATTTGCGGACTGACTGAAAAGGATGGTTTACGATGGATCTAATTGAATCACATTCTATCAAGAGATTTGATTCGATCACCATTTTCCAAAAGAGCTATGTTTGATTTAACCGATAATGCAACATGGACTTACAGATTCCTATGGCGTATAGCACCATCTTTCATAAGGTGAGTGAAGCTTGTCTATCATTTACAAACGACAATTTTACCTTGCACAAAAAGCTCTATAACGGAAACGTTATCAAAAACCTTTGCGGCAATCCAGACTCTGATATAACCAACCGTCAAAATGTCAGTCCACTGACAAAACACTAATGCTTTTGGTTTGGCACCGAGATGCGATTAACTCCATTTGCTTCAAATCACTCAAACCGTTTATGGGGTATATACATTGAGTGACATTTACAGGAGATTTGGATCGTTCGATGAATTGGCCAATGCCTTGGAGGCTTCATGGAATCAAGAAGCAAGAAGTTGTCTCTGCATGAAAAATACATAGCGTGTTTCAAATGTCAGTTTGTTGACTTCTTTTCCAAACTTTGCAACCAATGAGCTAGTTTGATCCCAAGAATCATAAATGGACTTCGTACTTGACTAAGGTTGGATTACTGCATGACGTCCTGAATTACCTTGACGCTGCCATTGAACATTTACCGTAACTGTTCAAAAACTTGCTTTGTGGAATGTCTAGCATATCCGCGGTTAGACTAAAAGAGTCTCTTAAACGCCAGCGTATTCTTTGTTAAAGCTAGACCAGGGGCCGGATTCATCATTGAAATTGAGGTATTGTTTGCCCCTGAGGTAAACATACCCTAGGTATTTTCAACCCTAAGGTGAAAATCGCATTCATCAATATTTTACCCCGGAAGGTAAGGAAATACCCCGGTGCCAGTCGCCGCACACTGGCGCTTCATGAGAACGTCTCATGACGTGTTTGCGGTGGTGAAAGTTCCTAATATGCCGTGGATTTCTTACTTTGCGTTACGATGTTACTCAATTTTACTGTACCGTGCTGTATTTTTTCAACATCGTCTCTCCGTGTGTATGTTGTTGAGGTCATATTTTTCACTTTTTTTTTGTAGGGACCATCACATATTTAGGAGCAAAAGTGTGCGATTTTGACTGGCTAACGCGAGATAAACGGAATTTTTACTTTTTAAATAATGGTAAGAGAGCAGCCTTAAACGTTAGTCTTCGGTGTGTGGTGGAATAACTGTTGTGGACTTAAAGAACTTTTTCATCGATGAAAGAAACTATCAAACTAACTTTGGTTTTCTGTTCGAAAATCTACTCTTCAAAAAAGAATTTGAACCCTGCTACTATCACAGTAGGTTTGGCTTTTTACGTTCTAGTCAATTTATTTCTTACTTCCTTTTTGAAAAGTGCTGTTAGAC